GCATTATTCTCAATGAATTGGTTTTATGATTGTATTATAGTGCAAGCTTTGCTTTTGGTTTCTCCTGTGACAATCCCTGATATGACCAATTTAAAAAGAAGTATGGAATTCTTAAAAAAAAAAAAAAATCATACTCACCTAAGGTGGATGCAGCATCAGTCTAATGCTGCAACTGTCTTCTGCTGATTTTAAGAGTGAGAACTGCTGATCGGTCAGTTCTTGGTCTTCAGTGAGCAGAGCCGCTGACTTACAGTCACTGGCTCTGTCCTGTCCTTTCAATGCTCACTGGAATGCCAGGCTGGGCAGGGGGAGGGAGCGACCAGCTCAGGCTCTCAGCAGCATGCTGAGTGGCTGAGCCAGCTGCCAGTCCAGGCATCTGGGTGGATCTTTAAATTCGTCATCTCTCCAGAACCTGGACTGGCTCAGTGACATCAGCCGCATGGAGTCAATCACTGGACTTTAGCCTGCTGAAAACAGGTCACAAGGGTACAGAATGAAATGCCAAGTTCCAAGGGATTGAATATTTGGTTAGAGTCCATTTGCATGCAGGGTACTGCATGGTGGTGGAGTGAAGTGGTGGGAAAACTTATTTAAAACTTTGATTTCACTGGTGACTAGAGCTGTTGCATATTAATTTTATGTAAGCATATTTTATATTCATTAATTTACTGCAATAAGTACTACAGTATGGATCTGGTTTTCTGATTTTTTTTATTATTATTACATCCCCTGGAGTAACCAGGAACACAGATAGATGTCTAGAAAGTGAAGTTGAAGAAAGGAAAGACATCAGGTGGCCCGATCTTTTATTTTCAACATATGACCTACTGATTACTGAGGGTCTTACTATCTGATAAGTGTCCATCTTTATGGGGTGTACCACACAGAAGGTATTTTCAATGGTTGGAAAAAGTAGTGTCACCAAACGGTGAATACTTTTTGTTTATGAACACCATGTTATGGACACAAGGCATACAGAAAATTATATCTGGTTTGTTTTTGAAATACAGGTTTCATTTTAAAGAGATCATGGTTTTAGAATTATTATAGTGTTGGTTTCCTTATTATATCTGCAAGAGAAAAGAGCTTTTAAGAGCATCTAAGAGGAAAATGGTTTAGGGCAGAGAAAGAAGGATATACCACAGGAATAACCTACTTTGCAAACTTTTTTTCACTGGATAGTGTTCAGCAGAGATTACTGGAGTGATCCACTTATCACAGGACATTCTCTTTATGAACAGGGAATGTTCTGCAGATCTTTTTGTATCCAAAAGGGGCATGGACAAGACAAAACAGTTAGTCTGCACAATGCCAAGCCCTATACAGATAAAGATAATGAGCTTTTATGTTAAGTATGTTGCATGAAGCTCCCACTTTAATATGGTGGCAGTCTGGGAAGAAAAATCTTCCGCCACTTTCTCCAGTATCTCAATTTGAAGATAAAAGAAAAATAATAAACTAGTTAAGCACAGGGTGACTCTGCTTAACTAGGTCATCACATTCAAGCTCCAGCACAAAACTGGACTGAAGGAGTGGGTTGGGTTTATAACGGAGATGGCCCAGAATGCATGCTTTGTCGGTGTTTAATAACCTAAAGATATATGCCTATAATCCATGATGTATGAATACTTGCCTGTGCTCGGTACTATGCACCAAATATCTAGATAGACCAGAGTTGAAATAGTTTTTAAAATATTTTTACCCTCAAAATTACCTCTTCTTCCTTCATCTTTAAGGCGTGTTTCACGTTTGTTAGCTCCCGACTCTCTTTCTGTAGAAGCTGTTCCTTTTCTCCCAGAAGCTTCTCTTGCTTCATTGTAACAGCATTTTTCAGTTTCATCTTGTCCACCAATTTCTTTAAATCAGTTTGTAATTTTTTTATGATTTCATTAGCCTAGGATAAAATTGTAATTGATAATTATGGCCATGAAGTCAAGTCATTTTAGGCATAAATAAATGGGATAGAACAGGATTTAAAGGTTTACTTTTATAAGTTCTTCAGAGAGGGATTTCACTGCAGTTTCAAGCTTGGCAATTTGCAGCTGCTTTTGTTCCAGGGATTCTTCAAGTTTTTTCTAAAAAAAAAGAAAAAAGAAAAAAAAAAAAAACTTAATCACATAAAAAGTGATTCATTGCAGCAGATGCAGGAAAGATTGAGTATGAAATTAGTCATTTACCTGATGATAAATTCTGCTTTCAGTGTGCAAATGGCAAGAAATAAAACAAGCACTGCCTGCATTAGGCATTGCAATTTCAAGTTTGAAGTCTCTGTTTACATTGCACATTTTCTAATGAACAGAAAAAGCATAATAGTTCAATGTTTTTTTAAGACCATTTTATATGGGACGTGCTTTAAAATACCCCCCCCCCCCCCAAATCGTCATGTAGTAACTAAGAGAAGAAAGTGTCTTTCTTCCATCCAAGTCGTGGCATTTATCAGGATATCATTGTGGTATTATATGATTATATGTCAAACTTCTCCACAAAGAAATAATCAAAATCAATTGTGCTTTACTACACAGTCTGTCTGCATTCAAAATTATTTATGGGAGCATTCACATGTCTGTTTTACAGGTACAGTGTACCAAGTAAGAAAAACCTTGCTTTCTGTGCCTTCATTAGGAATGAATGTGAATGCTATAAAAACACTTGAAAATGCACTGTACTCCTCATTTGGAACTGCAAAGTAGTTTAATATGACACATACCTTGTGCTCCTGTGCACTCTCACAAGCATCTGTACTTCTTAACACTACTTGCTCTTTATCCTTCACTTCCTGTTCTAGAACAGCTGTGCGCATCTTGTACTGGTTTAGCAGCTTCTCTTTCTCATGGCACTCAGAGTCCAAAGTAGAATTTTCCCGACGTAGGGAGGAAGCTTCTTGTTTAGCTCTATAATTTTCCTGAAACACCATTTTACAATTTATTTGACCAGATATACTGGGAGAAATGTATCAATACTGGAGCAGACAGAAACTGGTGCAGCTGTGGATGGCAACTAATCAGTTTCTATCTTCAGCATGTTTCGTTAACCTTTGAAAATGAAAAGCAGACGCCAATTGGTTGCCACAAACAGCTGCTTCGGATTCAGACTGCTCCACTGTGTCTGCTTACAAATGAACGTTCATGCATAACATGCTGTATTGTCATTACCATTGGGCCATTACTGTGTAGTTAATTTTAAATCATCACTTTTTTGTGTGTATTTACCAAATTAAAAATACACCAACTGGCTGAATTTACAGCATGGATCCTATGCAATCAATGCTTGTACAGTATTCTGTATGTAAAAGTTAGTTCACAAAGATCATTACACAAGTTTTTGTCAATTGAATACCTTTAGCTTCAGGCTGATGTTAGCTCTGATGTGCTATGAGTAGCATATTGATAAGAAAAATGCACCATGCATTAAAAGATCCATAAGGAAAAAGAAAACCTTTTAAAAAGGCAAATGCTCATTTAAATCATAAGTAAACTCAAAAACAAAAAAATGTATATATTGCAGATTATCAGTTCTTAGACATGCTGGCTGCATTTGTTTGTTTTTTTTCACGCTTTTCTTTAGTCTATTCACCCGGGGATCCTGTCAGTTACACACTGTCTCTTTGGGTGACAATTCTCCCTCTCCCTGCTATATCTGTTGAGGAGCAAAGTTGTCACTGGGGTTGTAGTTCACAAAAGTCAGCTGGGAGAGTGGAGATTTCAGAGCACAGAAGTTACAAGGACACAAGATCTGTGAAAGCCAATCACCAGGCCCCAGAACGGTTACATGACCAAAGACATTGCCATATTTCCTGCATGGGCAAAGTGACAGTGACTATTTATAAATCTGATGTAAAATGGTTCCTCCCAAGAATTAAACAAGTCAGAAGGTAAGAAAAAATGAAAATAGCTAAAAATTGGCAATGTTTTTATTTGTTGCATTTTACAATCTTTAATAAGTGTATTGTTCCCACATAAGCCATTTTAGTGTGCACTTGAATTTGTTAACCCTAATTCTATATTGATCATATTTCAGTGTCCAATAAGCATACATTTAAACACATGTAACACATAGGTGTCATCGGATTTACATTTATAGATATATGGACCATTGCAAATGGGTGTATACTTGATGAAAAAAGCCAGTAAAATTGCAGAAAACATAGCTCAATGGGTAGGGGAAAAAAAGGGAGCTACCATGAAGCCCAGTCTTAGCCACTTTATTTTGCTTGATTTTCTCAGTTACAGTTTCACCAGATTAAACTCATTATGACATTATAAACAACAGTGCATAGAATGTGTACCGTCAACACCTACATAACCAAAAAGTGTTATGCCCAATTTATTACAGGTCTTTGTGAAACTATGTTTAATATTACAGCTATCGGGTAATTCATTAGTTACAAAAGCAATACAACATTATTGCACAAATCTGTATACCTCTTCCATTGCAGAAAGCTTTCCTTTAAGTTCACGTATGCAAGATTCTGACTTGTACTTCTTCTCTGTCAAATCTTTATTAACTGCTTCCAGTTCACACAACCTTCCTTCCAAATGTTGCATTGTTCGATTGTTAGAGGATTCCAGCTCTTTCTTTTGCTGTTCATTTTGAAACTGGTATTGAGTTTGAAGCTAGGAAAAAAAAAAAAAAGGATGGTATCCAATTAATATTCTATTGTAATAAAGTACTAAATAAAAATGTTTATTTGTCCTCTCCAAAACGTTTTCTATTTCAAGCAGTTAATTGTCATTATGATCTTATAAAATATGATAAACAAAGGGTTAATATGAAGATAAGGCTTTATAACATAGCACAATGTTTGCTTGCCCATTAGCAAAACTCCAGTGATATACAATAACTTCCACAATACAAAAAGCTGCTGGGGATAACATGACGATGTGTGGGTGAAGATTTCATACCAGAGAAAAAATTACAATTTGTTTCTGAAAAAAAAACAAAAAACAAAAATTTAATCCAACCTGCACCACCTTCTCTCTCTCTGCTGCAATTTCCTCTGTATGCCTACTTGTTAATAAAGAGGTCTGTGAAGTCCATTCATTTTTCAGCTTATCCAGCTCCTTGCATTTCTCTGCCAGGGCCTGTTAAGAAAGTTACTACAAATTTAAGGAAATATAAAAGCCGGATTTATTTTTTTTCATTTATAGACTGGATCATGAAGGGGAGAAAAAAAATTAAAAAAAGGCAAAGAGGCATTTATTAGGGACCTGTACTGTATTGCATGCTGCAAGAAAAAAAAAAAAATGAAAAACATTCCGAAATGCAACAAAATAGCTTTTAGAACTTGAATTAGCCCAAGCCATCAAGAGCAACAAGGTTTACACAAATGAGTTTGAGAATCAGTAAGTGTCAGGTCCTAATTCTCACACATCTTTCATCCACCTCACATATAAAAATACAGGTTTTACTTTTCTCTCTTGTTCTAGCAGCTGAAGTTTGTATTTATTAAAGGATCATGCACACCAGATGTTTTTGGGCTAAACTGGCAGCTATTTCCCATGCAACCCTAACACACAATGCAAAATGCCTCGTTTCCAGTGGTGTCAGTTCACATCCCAGTGTTGCTTTGTGCTGAACAAAAAAAAAGTACTGTATGCAGTACTTTTTTTTTTCAGCACAGCAGGATGCAAAGTGAACCACCACATTGTAACACCTCTGAGTTGATTTTAAAGTAATTCTAAAATATGTTTTCTTATTTCTTAAAAAAAAAAAAAAAAAAAAAACGTCTATACTTACCTGCTATGTGCAGTGGTTTTGCACAAAGCAGCCTGGATCCTCCTCTTCTTGAATTCCGCGCTGGCTCTCCTGTCCCCTCCTTCCTGTCGGGTGCCCCCACAGCAAGCAGCTTGCTATGGGGGCACCTGCTGCTCTGTGTGTCCATTCACACACGCAGCTGCATCTCGGCCCCGCCCCCTCTTTTTTCACTGGCTCATCGGAATAGCTGAAACAAAAATCGTGAGCCTTTAGAACTACTTTAACTGTAATGAAATCTCACTTGTGATATTTCAGTAAAGTTCTGTGACTAAAAGTAAACAGTGAAATGTTCTGGGATTAGTGCACTGGTACTGTAAGGTTGATTTACTAAAAAGGCAAATAGACTGTATTTTGCAAGTGCAGTTGCTCCAGAGCGTAGCAAAAATGGTAAAGTTCTGATTTCCATCACCCAATCATGTTCAAGCAAAAATGCTGTTTTTTTTCCTTGCATGTTATTGGGTATTCTTTGTAAATTGAAGCTTTACCATATTTACTAAGTTCTGGAGGAATTACGCTTGGAAAGTGTAGTCTTTTTGCCTTTATTAAATCAACCCATGTCTCCAAGCATGCACCAATGGCTGTAAGATCAGCATGACTCGCTGGAATGAATGATCCCTAAACCATCCATTTGTTTCCAAGTCTTTACATGTCCACTTTGATGAAAAATGTCAGCGCTCACAGGCTTCAGCTGAAAATCAGACATACAAAAGTAAGGAGTCAGAACAGTGAGCTTTGTCTCCTTCTCTCCTTCAGCAGTTATGTAGTTTTGTTCTTCATATACTTACCTGCCTTGTGAATCCAGCATTGTCCTGCTGCAATCCGCTGCTCAGGTGCCACACCATCGTTTTTCCCTGCCAACGTTATCGAGAAGCCCAGCTGTTTGGATGCAGGATAGGGAGGTTCCAAGGAGCAAATTTTTTTGTTTTGGGCAGTGAAGGGTCTGCAGTAACTGACATCCTGGGCTCAGTTCCCTTCAGCTCCACCACCTTGCTTTAGTATAAATGGGTTTCCACTGGGTGCCCTGGATGAGATTTTAAAAATAAGTGGACAACCCTGAAAGGATCAGGCCAGTTTTAGGAACTCTGATACCTGCAAATATAGGCCAATTTGCCATCAAATTGTAAGACCCAGCCACCGATTTTTTTTTTTTCCCCCTCTTAACATATTGAAAAAAAAAAAAAAAAAAAAAGTGGTATTATTGTAATGGATATTTTGGGCCTACAATAATTTTTACCTTGAACAATATGGTCAACTTATGATAGGTATCCATGTCTCAGTTCTAAAGAAATTTCCAGGAACTGGAGATTTTGAGAACTGCTGTAAACATTAGGACATTATAAGCCAGCCTTGGAATGGTCTGGCCACCTGGCAGTGTAATCTGTCATGTTAAATAGCACTAAAGGGGTATATGACAAAAAACTCTTTGCAGGATGCCACTTCAAAGGATTCAATTGAGATAAGGGGAAGGAAGGCAGCTGGGAGTTTTATTTACTTATACTGTGTATTCTTTTTATTTTTAGAGAGCATTAATATTATTTTCTAATACAATGGGCAGGCAAGTGGTCCTTGCCAGTCGAGGAGGTCAGGTATCCTTCTGCATCAAAGAAAATGAGGCATTTAAAAAAAAAAAAAAAAAAAAATAAATATATAACTATCTATAAAATCGGCAGTATATAGAGACAGTATCAAAAGATCAAAATCGGCAGTATAGAGACTTCAAAAGATCTCTTACCTGTTGGGTTACAGAAAGTTTCTGAAAAAGTTCCTCCTCAGATCTCTGCAACTTTCCTTTTAAAACAGAATTTTCCAGCTAAAAGGTGAAAGAAAAAAAAAAAGTTAATATAAAGGATTATGGGTAATTTGATTCATTATAGACTAATTTCTTGATTCATTTGGCACTACAAATTTTTTCATGAAAGTAAAAATGGCCCTGAGCCTACACCCCCCCCCCCCTTTCCTGCCCCCTCTCTAGATTTTCCACAGTAGTTTGCCTCCATAGTAACTTTCAAATTGTATCCCTGTGTCTTTTTCTACTTTCTTTATTTCTGTATTTCCCATTGTTTTCTCCTTGCCGGTACTATTGTGACAGCCACCTTAATGTGGTATTAAGCCCAAAACCAAAAATTAAAAAAACACATTGTATTAAATAAATAGGGAGGGGTTGGATTCTCCCCAAATAAAATATACATACGTATTATCTTGTCTGTCCTATACTGGGTTATTCTGTTAAAGCTCTGATAATATTGATGGTGTCACTATAAACAAGAATAACTATAATAGTAAATAAATAGACCTTTGCATCTTTGAATGTTGTATTTATTAAGTAAAACACTAACATAGAAGTCTAAAAGAATATTACAGAGCATAGAGAAACTAAATGAGCAGAGATGACGCATTACGGAAGTCCATCCTCAAGGTTCTGCATCAAGGCTGGGCTCCTGGAAGAAGAGGGAAATCATGGCTGGCCCTCGTATTTTTATACCACTCACAAACACTGCCAACACTGATCGCCTTTGCCCACCCCCTGTACAGTTCTCTGTCCAATGAGCAACAAGCTATAAAACTTAGACCTCATGCTTGATGTCTAAGTTTTTGGCTGTTTTTGGCTTTTGACATTTTTTTCTACAGCTAGTAAACCCCCCAGCATGTTATCCTATGTGTCCATGCACACACAGACTGTAATCAACATTTTTTTGGCTGGGGGAAAAAAAAAAAAAAAAAAAAAAAAAAAAAACAGGATTAGTGGGTTTCTAGTGGAGTTTTTCAGTTGTCAAAATGTTCTGGTTGCTGAAAAATGCAGCAGAATGCAACGCTGACCAAAAAAAAAATCCAAAAAAAAAAAAACAAAAAAAAAAAAAACTTTAGACAGCTAACATTACCAGCGTTATCAAAATGTCCATAGTGCATGAGGACTTAGAGCTGTCCTTGATAACCACCAGGAGGTCTGAGATTATGCTCCTCTACCCCGCCCCCCCTGCCCCACACACAGCCACACATCACCTTAGATTGTACGCCCCTTGAGGGTTAGGGACTGATGCGAATGTACAATATATATGTAAAGCGCTGCGTAAATTGACAGAGCTATGTAAGCACCTGAAATAAATAAAATAAATAAAAAAATAAATCACAACAGCAGGCCTATTTGAGAACATCCTTCAGGAGATGAAGTACCATTTGCGTCCCCTTGTTACAAACATCCTCCTGTGTAAACCAATTCTACTGGTATTCAAAGGCCATCTCCAGTAGGCCAGGTGACTTTATGATTACCAGACAGCAAAAATCCATAAATGTCTGATATTAAAACATGTTGTGCTCCCAACATTGTAGCTTACTATTAGATTTGGTGGCTAAATTTTTCTTTAGGCTGTTTTTACCTGGTGATCTGGATAGTAATACACCCCCTGTATTACAGTGCCCCACTCTGGATGAAGGAGCACAAGGGGAAAAATTTGGACAGCCTCATTGTTAGTCTGGGTGGAGCTTAGTTTTAGACGGACTAGCAGATTTAAATACACAAATAAGCTAAACCCCAGCTAATACTTTATAACTTGTTACAGCAAACAGGTTTTTCCCTTTTTGATATAAAAGTTTTACATAAATAAAAGCTGATAATTGTAAGAAGCCCTGTTAGTGGTAAATGGATGATTTCATCCCTGTAACTGATATATCTGCAAGAGAGCTTCTTTTGAAAAACAACAGACTGGCTAGCTCATCAGATGAAAAGTAGATAAAAAGCCTAAAAAGAAAAAAACTAATGTAGCCATCACATCTAACTCGCTAAGCTACAATATAATAAATCTTTTCTTTTGGGTTTAATACGGCTTTAAATTCCCCTATTTTTTTCTCAGCTACTGACTGAGTGTTCAAATCAACTAACTTTTGCCTTTTAATTTCCTACCACCTATTTTCTTCTTCCCCACTTTATCTTTTTACAACATAGAACTTTAAACTAAGAAAAAAAAACTGTCCTAATGCTTGAATATCTCATTCTGCACCCATGTGCTACATACAGATTGGCATAGTTTAAATACTATTCTGAGTAGAGAGCTGTACTAGTGTCTTCTGTTCATGAGCAACTGCAACCATTATTGACAAATCTAGAGTTCAGGAATCTCCCAGCTCCCAAGCTCTAAATGGCCAAATTTTACAACATAGGTAAAGCCTTGTTGCAGATACTTTGACTATAAATTACAATAGATTCGATTTAGAGGATATCATCACATTCCTACCTCCATAAATGGATGACAGTTTGCCTAATCTGTTTGAATAATCTATACAGCTAAAATCCTATTAAACTATTTCTTACAGTTCTCTTTTCCTACAGTCTGTCTGATAAAACACTTTGGAATAGTGAGGGGAAATTCAGCATTCACCACTTGTTGATGGTTGCAGTTATTGTTGTCCTACTTGGTTCCCTGGTGGTTTCAAGTTCTGTTGATATCACTTAAAGTTACCAAGTGTATGTAGCACTCAGCTTCGCTGAGTCCTTTGGTTTGGAAATATGACATTTTAATTTCTGGGCATCCTCCCTTCTCCTATGTATAACAGATACTGCCTTGTGTTGTAATTTGTGTGGACTGTCTGTTTTACTGTTTATCAGCATACACAAAAGATGATAGGAGTCAGGTATATGCTAGCTGGTTCTAAGCACAATTTTTATTGACCCTCAAGAATTGCGTATGTACATTAACAGCAGAACTTCCAAGCCGATTCAACTAGAAAAAGGCAGCCAATGTCTGTTCTTGCTATGTGGGAAAGAAAACCTTGCGCACAGCAAAATGGACACGTACATTTCATATCCAATCATCCCTGCAGTCATCCTGTGCAAGGCTTCCATGTTCTGGTTTATCTGCGACTGAATCTATCTCTGGCTTCTCTTCTCTGTGTGCGCCGAGTGTGCACGTGCCCTATTCTTCTCTTTCTGCGCTGTCACTTGGGGACATCACATGCAGAGGAGAGGGGGGTGAGCTGTCACAGCTAATTAGTTCCTCACCTTTTTTAAGCAGAGTGGTTGGACAGCTGTGGGGTGAGGGCTGATGTTGATCACACTAGCTTAGCATCCACTGCAGCACGGTTCAAAACAAGACAAAATGCTACACGTCTTCTGGTGTGACCACTTCTTTAACCACTTCAATACAGGGCACTTTTACCCCCTCCTGCCCAGGCCAATTTTCAGTTTGCAGCAATCTCACACTTTGAATGAAAATTGCGTGGTCATGCAACACTGTACCCAAACTAAAATTTTATCATTTTGTTCAAACAACTTGAGCTTTCTTTTGGTGGTATTTAAATCACCACTGGGCTTTTTATTTTTTGCTAAATTAACAAAAAGTACTGAAAATTTTGAAGGAAAAAAAAACCAAAACAAAAAAAAAAAAAACCCCACGTTTTTCTTTGTTTCGGTTATAAAAGTTTGCAAATAAATAATTGTTTTTCATAAATTTATGACAAGATGTATTCTGCTACATTTCTTTGGTGAAAAAAACCCAAATCAGTATTATTTAGTCTGTAGGAAAGTTAGAGAGTTCACAAACTATGGGATATATCTGAATATTGATCAATCCTGAAGTACCGACAGCCCAACTCATTTCTTGAGGTCCAACAATGTCAACAGTACAGATATCCCCCAAATGACCCCTTTTTGCAGAGTAGACAGTCCGACGTATTTCATAAGAGGCATGGTGAGTTTTTTGAAGTTGTAATTTTTTTGTCATACTTTTTCGGAAAATGAAGACATTTTCACAATCTGTCACCAGTGCAATACAGTGTCAGCATATAACTGGTGTGGCGGTGATCAGGGACACTGACTGGTGACAGTATTGGAAAAAAAAAAAAAAAAATTTATATTTTTTTTTTTCATATTGCACTATGAGCAAAGTAGTATAATGTTACCATAGTAACATTGTACTACTTTGGGCAAGTGATCAGAATTTTGTGGTTTTTTTTTTTTTTTTTTTTTACACAATTTGATTATAGCAAAGTTTCTTTGCTATAAGCAATCATTTAACTGAACAAAAGCGATTCATTCAGGTTTTTTTTTTGTGATTAACTGTGATTGGCCAATCACATGACACAAATGGGCTGTGATTGGCCCAGCTTGTGCATGTGATCACTGTAAGCATTCATAGCTAGACACCTATACAATGGATGGCTTCCTTTCATGCCATCCATTGTATACAACTGTCATGTGACCCGCTGTGATTGGTTACAGCAGGTCACGTGGTACTGGCAACGGGGCTGGTGCACAGATTTGTCATCAGCCGTGTCCAAGGTACACGGCCAGTAACAGATCTTGCCACAGCGCAGCCCTGCACAATGCGCGTTTCGGGAGGACGCCATATGGCATCATCCCAGAGGGACAAAGTGTTTGCCAGCCGCCATTTGGTCATAGGCCGGGCGGCAACTGGTTAAGATTCAATCATGACCTACTATTAGAATCTAACAAAAGAGAGGACACAGTCTTTGTTTTCTTCTGTATTCTTTGCAGATATTGGAAAAATATCATGGGAAATATTTGGCAAACTTTTACAAGGATTAGGTTTTCTCTTTTTCACTACCTTGAATCTATAGGTCTTAAGGAAGCACAAAAACACACAAAGAACAGTACTGACATTTTTGTATGAAGGACGGGACATAGGGCGTGAGGGAAGGCAGAAGAGTAAGAATGACTTAGCTCAGCCCAGATCTCTTGCAGTCAGTGCACTTTGATCAACCAAAAGTATTCCCTCAAAGAAGTCTATCAAGATTCTCTTCTTAACAAAAGAGGCAGATGACAGGCAGCGGGGCTGATGAAGGACTAGGGAAGGAAGTGTCCTGCACAGAACAATTGCTTACTCCTAATACATTTCTGTTAAACACTTTGGCAGAAACTGATCACTGCATAATCTTGATTTTTTAACAAACTCCATAATACATTTTTTAGTCAAAATGGCATCTTACCTTTAAGCTCTTAATGCAGGTGGCAAGATACTTCTTTACATCACTGTCACTGCCTTCCACAAGTTTTAAAGAAAGATGGATTAGGTGCTTGAATGGGTTTGTTTCAATTACATTTAAGCTTGCAGCCATACAGTCCAGGCCATCTGATGTAGTCAGCAACTGAAGTAAAAACCTGTAAATGTACCAGCAATTATCCAAAATGCATATACTTGTGATAAAATCAACTATAAAACCTTCACTAACATTTTAGAGCTAAAACTCAATTTTCAAAAACTTTGGCAAAAGCTGGACATAATGGATACTATAGCCATGGTTCATGACAAGTGTCTAAAAGCCTGACTTTTCTAGGCCATAAAGTCTAGGAGGGTTATATAATTTTGCTGAGACAGCCTGAAACATTGTCTCCAACTTTACAAGTCCACTTGTTCAATTCAATTAAAATCGGTCACTCTGCTATTATTTCAGTGCCCATACAACCTACCTACCAATCTACACCATCCATGCAACATGAACACATACACCATGCAAGACACATGCATTGTATTTAGGAAAGGTCAAACACAAGTAACATCTCCCTATGTGCAACTTGTTAAGTGTTCACACATGCCTTCTTCTCATACATTTCTTGTATGGCGAGCTCCCGAAAGTTAATAGGACACTGCTCACTTTTGTGATCAGGCAACCCTGCATTCAGAGATGGCACAGCATATATATAAGTGAAATGGACTGAGGTTCAGCAAAGCACTGGAGATTAAGGGACACTGTGAAGCAGAAATTCCAGAGATAAAAGGCCACTTTGTCTTGGAACATGGAGAACACTCTATGGTGGACATGCTAATCATATGGAGCAGTTAAGGCAGGAACACATGACACAAAAGTGACTCCAAGAGCAATGGAGGGAACCATTCAGCACTGTGGGGAGACTGACACTCAGAGATTCCAGTTTCAGAAAAGACTTTGGGGGACAATATCTCATGTATGGTGCTGCTTTCAGTAGTGCAGGCAGTGGAAAAGGCCATAATTCACACTCTTTTTGTAGCTGTAAGAAATTTTACAAGTCATTTTTGCAACATGTTGACTTTAACATATTCTTAGGAATTTACTAAATCTATAAGACTGACAAAATTTGCTGAGCAAATTAAAGGAACAGGGAATAATAGATCAGAAAAAGGCATGATGAGGTTAACACTGACAGGTGATATCTTCTGTATTCCAGCATACAGATGTAAGGGCCTGTCTTCTTATGTCTCTGCCATATTTGTACAGACTGAGGCTTTTTTCTTCACTTTTTCTATAAGTTGTGTTTACACTAGCAACAGAGTTTGGCATTTGACAGTTAGCAAGGAGGCAATAGGTTGGTTCCTTGCCACCTGTTTTAATCCTCAAAATGCCAACCAACTGCGCAGCACCACTTGAATGGGTTGCATCCAGTGGCAGTATTGCCCACAACAGAAGAGAACTCTTGCCGCAGCCACAAAGCATCCCTCTTTCATTTTCTCTCATGGTCTCATTTTCTCTCCCTGCACACACACACACACACACACTCTATGTATGTTGCACACTTAAGTACACAAACTTATTTCCCACACAGCACATACATCAAAGTAATGCAAGGTTTCAATAAAAGGAAAAATCAAAAGGAAACATTAGCATGCATCAAAATCCCTCTCGAAGCTTGATAGCATCATTTTTTGTGACAAAACCAGCATGTGGAGGGCATAATCCAGTTCTTAGCACAGCATGATGTTCCACAGTAAAGCAATCAACTTGTATATGCCTTCAAATAAACACCATGTTTAAAGTTATATCACTTGCAAACACTCCACTGAGAGCGTTAAGGAAGAAATCTATTTACAATAAAAGGAAACGGAAAAAAAAAAAAAAAAAAAGTACATTAGAGGGTACTGAGTTCTCCCTCACTTAAGACTACTTTCTATCAGTTTTATTATTTATGGTTCACACATGCTGAGTGTCATTTCTCCTTTCCCATCAAATAATCACAACTCTTATCCACAAATAGGCTTCTTTGTCCTAAGGTGTTAACCATTGTAAGAGTTATCTTTCAAAGAGTGATGACCCAAGGCAGAATCAAGTACACTTGCAATCTTCTAAGTGATCAATACAATGAGCTAAACACAATAAAATCTTGTACTCTAGAAAGGGCTCTAAGCACCTTATTTTTCAAATAACAAATCCTGACAGCATTACGTCACAATCCAAACAAACACTTTCATTTAAAGATAATGTTTTGACTGTAATTCACAATGAAAAAATGCTTAGTAAAACACTGAAAAACTCTTTCCAAAGTATATAAATTAAAATGCAAAATATCACTGATTTTCCCGAGTAATAATTAAGCTTTAATAAAACAAAAATTGCAGCGCTACAATCGCCTCATAAAAAAATCCCATAAAAAAAATTGTGTAAATCTATATAAACTCCACATAAATAAAACTAAATAGTTTCCTTATTTATACCTAAAAATATTGTGCCACATGAATTAAGGTAGAATGCCAAAAACTGAATATTTCATAGCAAAAAGTGTCCAAAGTGATCAATCCTTCAGTGAAAATGGCCAGCCACATGATGCGATGTCTTCCACCATAGGATTTCCACCACAGGCGCTTCTTACCAGATTTGATGGACCATTAAATCATAAATGGTCATGATGCGCTCATGGTTTATTTCCAATAGCGGTTCCAGCAGAAGTGAAGACACTTGCACTGGCATCAGCTTGGAAACACCATAGTGAAGTATGTAGTTGAAAGGCTTGAGACATTTATTAAAAAATAGGCAAAAAAAAAAATGTAAAAAAACACCTTTTACCAACAATCGTAGAAGACATTAGTTAGCAGGCTGATCGCTCGAGACAAGAACGCCGACAGCAACGGGTGTTGAATGCGCAACGACATCACATACGAGCCAGGCCTGACATGTTTCGTCAAACGTCTTCAGGGGATCAAAATATTATATAATCAGCGCAACTACGTATATGAATATATACTTGTACAAATACCAGTGAAAAAAATTCTAAACCACAATGTGAAACTGCAGGCTGAACACTTGTTAGTAAATTTCACCTCACCCTAAAAAAAAATTAATACAATTAAAAGTGCAGCGCAATATAAAACACAATTAGTGTAAGAATACTAGTGTAAAAATAATAATGTAACCAAAGTCCAACATGTATACATCCAATTAAATCTACGCAGTGCATGTACATCCACACGTTACGGTGCTCACTTCTTCCTTTCTTCATTACACACTAAGTGCACTGCCACCACAAGGTGAAAAACCTGCTCACCTCCAATATATCATGAAGAGCTCATCCCAGTCACAATAAAAAACAGCCCTTTTGGTCACAAAATTCATTTTTCCATTAATACACAGATATTGATGGGTATGTGACCATGTAATAAAAAAGACCAAAACATAGCGACTGGATAAAAAAAAAAAAAAAAAAAAAAAAACGGATTTTGGGACGAGAAGGAGGTGAGCAGGTTTTTCACCTGGTGTGGTGGAGGTGCACTTAGTGTGTAACGAAGAAAGGAAGAAGTAACCACAGTCACGTGCAGATGTATATGTACTGCGAAGATTTAATTGGATTTATATATGCTGGACTTGGGTACATTATTTTTTCACAATTTTGCACTTTTAATTGTATTAGTCTTCAGGGAACTGGCTGCACTTTGGACAGTTTTTGCTTGATTTATGAAATATTCCATTTTTGGCATTAAATATAAGGTGCCACGTGAATTAATGTATAAGTACAAATAAGGACATCATTTAGTTAATTGATATGTTTATGGGATTTTTTTCATGAGGCGATTGTTACACTGCTGTTTTTGTTTTAGTGAAGTTTTCAGCTGGTGTCACAGTTGTCCAGTGGCTGCATGATTAGGTTAAAATTTTCCTTTGACCTAGCGCATATTTGTTTATATACAATAATTAAGCTTTGTTACTTGTAACACACATTTTGCAACTGCAAATAATTTTAATAGGTATCCCAAATGCTAAGCATACTCTTGGCACATTGCGTATTTTTGGTTACATGCGTCACAATTAAATTTGATGCAACATACATATAATTTGAAACTAGCAAGCTAGAGCTTTTCCACTGCACCTAAAATATGCAGGCATGAACAGAGACCAATTCTTCACAACATGTGTCTGACTGTTAGAGATAAATAAAATCTAGAAGTTTTTCCCCTTAAAGAAAGTAGTAGTTTTTAACCATACAAGTGATTTATAAAGCCACTTTCATTGTATATAGTGTTTACCATGCTACCATATGAAAGTAAAAACTATAGACAAAACTTTACTTCATTTTATATAGAGTAAGGGAGGGGAGGGTCATAACTAGGATTGCACAGATACCAGTATAGGTGCTGATACTAAGCATTTGCATGAGTATTGGTACTCATGCAAATACCCAGATATCTGAAACCAATACCTTCAGGCTGGGGTTCTTTCAGCTGTTAGTGGGATTCCCCATTGCTCAGCCCTAAAACAGAAAGATAAAAGAGAAACATCGTTTCATTTTGTATCTGTTTATTCGCCTACAGATCAAAAAAGGGATGAACTTGATCTGCAGATAAAATCAGTTAAGAGCACCCTGTCGAGGCTTTTTTTATGTTCCCGTTTAACCCCTTATTACCCCCTTAATTTACTCTAATCAGTCCTAATTAACTCCTTGTTCTCCTTCTCCATTCAATTATTTTCCTGCTGATTTTTTTTGGTTCATTTCTATTTTATAAACTATTAAAACTTTAGTTTTGTTAATATTTGTACACCTTTAACATAGATTTACACATTCCACATTGAAAAAAAGCAGAATATTGAAAAAAAATACATCTGATTTGTAAATACTTTTCAATGCTTTGTATCAGAATCATAGCTTTAGTGTCATTTAAAACACACCAAATTACAGAAGAAAATGTACGTTTTATGTGCAGTAGCATTATTTTTAAACTAACACTGCTCAAAAAAAGAAAAAATTTAGTTTTGTTACATTTAATGGTCTAAGGATTGTGGAAAAAAATATATGTATTACGTTATCTTAAGTAATGACAAAGTTATCGCCGAATAAACAGGTCCACAGCAGAAATGAAAAAATTGCTCTGGTTGATAATGGGTGAACAGGTAATGAAAGCAGTATAGGTTAAGGGAGCGGGTCCGCTGTGTCCTTAACAAATTCAATACCGGGCAATTTTACACCTTCCTGCCCAGGCCATTTTTCAGGTTTCAGCGCTCTCACACTTTGAATGACAATTGCGCGGTTATACAACATTGTACCCAAACTAAAATTTTATCAATTTCTTCACACAACTAGAGCTTTCTTTTGGTGGTATTTAATCACCGCCGGGGTTTTTATTTTTTGCTAAATTAACAAAAAAAAGACCAAAAATTTTGAAAAAAAAAAAGTTTTTCTTTGTTTCTGTTATAAAAGTTTGCAAATAAATAATTGTTCTTCATAAATTTTGGCCGAGATGTATTCTGCTACATGTCTTTGGTGAAAATAACCCAAATTAGGATGTATTTTTTAGTTTGTAGGAAAGTTATAGAGTTCACAAACTATGGTATATATCTGAATATTGATCAATCCTGAAGTACTGACAGCCAATCTAAATTTCTTGAGGTCCAAGAATGTCAGAATAGTACAGATATCCCCCAAATGACCCCCTTCTGCAAATTAGACAGTCCAACGTACTTCATAAGAGGCATGGCGAGTTTTTTTGAAGTTGTATTTTTTTTGTCATAATTTTTCAGAAAATGAAAATAAAAAAATTTTCACTATTTTTTTTTTCTTTTTTTACATACTGTCACCTGTGCAGTACAGCGTCATCATATAACTGGCATGGCGGTGATCAGGGACACTGACTGGTGACAGTGTGGAAAAAAAAAATATATAATTTTTTTTTTTTTTTTAAGATTTCTTATTTCATATTCCACTATGTCGAAAGTAGTACAATGTTACCATAGTAACATTGTACTACTTCGGGGAAGTGATCAGTATTTTTTTTTTTCTTTACACAATTTGCTTATAGCAAAGAATTACTTTGCTATAAGCAAGCATTTACCTGAATGACATAGATTCATTCTGGGTTTTTCTTTTTTTTTTTGTGCTTAGCTGTGATTTGGCCACAGCTAATCACATGACATGTGCATGTGATTAGCTGTGACCATTCACAGCTAGAGACTAGTATACAATGGATGGCATGAATGAAGCCATCCATTGTATACAACTGTCATGTGACCTGCTGTCATTGGTCAACGGGGCCGATACTCAGATCTGTCATCGGCCGTGTCCGAGGTACTCGGCCGGTGACAGGCTGCGTGGCTCTGCAAGCGCGCGAACTGCGCATGTGCGGGAGTACACCATATGGTGGCCTTCCGGACGCCATACAGCTATTGGCCGGGCGTCAAATGGTTAACACCCAATCACTCATTCAGCTGTCAGTGGGGTTTACCTGCTGAATGGTATTGGTGCATCCCTAGTTATAACCCGTCAGCTTATTTTTTTGCCATCTGTGTCCCAATGGGGAGATTTACCATCACTTCCTGTCCCATAGCCAATACAGGAAGTGAAAGGAAAACCCTGCAAATTAAGGGAATTCCTTGGGGAAAAGTTTGCAGTCAGAACATAAATGGCCGTCTCTACTGTTATTACCTTCTAATGGGCAAGCTTCTCAGTCCACATCTTAAATCCAGTGGATGCCCAAAGCTGTTATAGTCATAATTTAAAAAGCCACACTTGTGTACAGCTACTTTCGCAGTATTATACAAATAACACCATAGAAGAAACACCTTTCAAGGAGATAAACAATGTTTTACTGCTATGTGTTGCTTTACATTTTTTGACCAGGTTATAGGACTGAAGGTACATACATACAAAAAGATCCAGCCTGTTTCCTGAATACATCTGCACTCAGGTTTGTATGCCAAAACCAATATAATCTGGGTATTTAAATTTCTGAGAAATTACTACGTAAATAATATTATTCGATTATTTTTAAAGTATAAGCCAACAAAAAGGTCTAAGAAGGTATGACCATATAAAATATTTGTACCTAGGAACAGGTTTGTCTTGCTCCAATATACATTGCTCCAGAAGGTCAATGAACCTCTGTGGAAATGCAGAAAATTCCACTAATAATCCTTGCTGGTTTTTTAAACTGAAAGAGAAAAATGTGATCAAAAACACATGCACAGTAAATGCAATGACACAAAAACACAAGAAATACTCAACACAATCACTGTTAAAACAAACGCAAATCCATTGTTTTGTATGAGACTAGATAGCACAAACTAAGCTAAATTGTATAGACTGAAGATGTTCTACAATAATGACTGAAGAAATTGGAAGACCTCCTCATAGTATCTTGCTTTCAGATATGATTTTACGAAGGCTGGGTAAATAGTAGCTCTGGAAAGGGTTAATAAGACATCCCTCTGTGTGATGCACATTTTACTACACAGTTTAACTAGTTGCAGACTTTGACCATGCTATACACACCCAAAAAATGTCATCCTTGGACATGTGCAACACCATTCAGTCTCTGTGCCTTGTTCCTGGGACCCCCCCCCCTCCCACTACACAGTAAGGCTTCATGCACAGAGGAGGTTCTAAAAATGCCAGCAGCTTTAGCTGTAGAAAGCCGAGTTAATGCAAGTTTTGCTGCGTTTAACTTTATTTTTCTTTTTAAAGCAAAAAAAAAAAAAAAAAAAAAAAACACCACACATACCACTTGATTTTTTTTTTTTTTATTTAACTCTCACTTTGCCACAATGCATCACTGAATAGTCATTTAGTCATCATTTTGACAGCCATTTAATAATCTGCGTGGATCACAAATATGCAGTTGGCCACACTAACTGCATACGTGAGCTACACTCAAATGAACAAGTTTTCATGTTTTGTCTGTATAGAGCCACACAGCACAGGTCAAGCAATGAAAGCAAGAGCAGCAAAGCACACTGGGAGATGTGGGAATTTACTGTAGAATGAAAATTGCCAGTGTCCATTGCTTGAACAAAAAATACTTGAGGCTCAAAAAAACAAAAAAAAAAACAAAAAAAAAAAAAAAAAAAAAAACGCACCTAGCCACATTTTACCGGGTTTAACAGCGTTAGAGTGTTTTTACAGCTGAACAACTCCTCTTCAAACCTGGTAGTCCTGGAGGTTGTTTTCCAGCCTGAAAATGCCCCTGCCAAAAAACCCTGTTAAAAGTCTGTGTGCATGGACACAACATGCCAGGGAGTTTGCTGGCTGTAGAAAAAAAGCCTGACGCCAAAAACAGCAGCTGAAAAGTGCCCTGTGTGCATGAGGCCTAGCTGACGGCTTTAAATAATCAAGTCCGGCATTACTGTATACTCCAAAGGTGTCGGCTACTCTAAACCCTGACTCACACCAGTGAGAGACTTGTGATGCGATTTGACAGTTTCAAACCACATCACAATTTGCACCTTATTATCCACAATAGAACAGTTCAAATCTTGAGTCGCATCGATTTTGAAAGTAGTTTCTGCACTACTTTTTGCGATTTCAGGTGCATCTTGCATAGATATCAGTGCATGAAGTCACATAGATGTCTTTCAAGTCGTATCTGAAGATGCACTGACATGCGTTTTTGAAATCATGCAACTTAGTAAAGTTGCACAATTTCAAAGTTGGATCCAGTGTAAATCAGGGATAAGTGTTGAAAAAGCAGTCTAAATAAGTGTTTATAAAACACTGTTTCAAACAGGATTATACAAAAAGATACTAAGTAACATTGTTACTTATGTATCATTCTGTTCATTCCTCTGTACATCAAAGGGATGAATGTAGTGATCTCAGTTAAAGCAACCTGACAAGTAAAAAACAAAAAAAAAAAAATACATTTTATAAAATGTTCCTGTTTAAGCCCTCATTAACTCTTAGTTTTTGTTTCAAATGATTTTGTTTCTATTTTAATAACAATTCAATGTTTTTTGTTAATACTTTTACACTTTAACATTTATACATTTCCCTTTTAAAAAAAAAAAAAAAAATTTCATTTGTAAATAACTTTGCAATGCTTTGTACTAGAATCATAATTTTAGCATTTTAAGAAGGACAAATTACAGAACAAAATATGTACCTTTTACGAGCATCAACACTATTTGTAAACACTGCTCAAAAAAGAGCGTAATCTTTTTAGTTTTGTTGTGTTTTATTGTCTAAAGGATTGTGAAAAAAAAATGTCACTGTTGCAAGACCATATCATGAAAGGAAAGCCTGGTTTGTCATTAAAAAAAAAACATATGTTTTACCTTGTCATCTTAAGTAAGTTATTGCTGAATAAACAGGTCCATAGCAGAAATGCAAAAATTGCTCTGGTTCATAGAGGGTGAACAGGTGTGAGATGAAGCGGTCAAACAAGTTAATCACTGGGTCCAGGCTTGGACATCCATGCATAACTACAGCTACCCACTGTGTTGCGGCAACATGCGAACAGCAGCAGCTAATCACATGCCCCAGTCATTGCAGCGGCAATAATCCACAGATTCTTGCTGCTGGAATCCAGTAGCTTCAAGTAATCAACCCTGTGAATGTGGCCTAAATGTGGGAAAGCACTAACCATGTATCTGTAAATTTACAAATATACAGTAGGTGTCGGATATGGATGTTTGCTTTCGGAAATATCAAAGTAGTTTAACAATGGACAGCCCTATGGGTCTGCTTTTGCGTTTTATAGTTACTGATATCTTGTGATGTATGGTAACACTGATTCTGTGAGCTCCCGAAAGTGCACTTTAACCACTTCAGTACCGGGTACTTTTACCCCCTTCCTGCCCAGGCCACTTTTCAAGTTTCAGCGCTCTCACACTTTGAAAATTGTGTGGTCATGCAACATTGTACCGAAAACTAAATTTTGGTCAGTTTGTTCACACCACTAGAGCTTCCTTTTGGTGGTATTTAATCACCACTGGGGGTTTTATTTTTTGCTAAATTAACAAACAAACAAAAAAAAAAAGATTTTTTGAAGTTGTAATTTTTTGGAAAATGTTTCAACAATTTATTTTTTTTTTACCTACTGTTACCAGTGCAGTACAGCGTCATCATAGAACTGGTGTGTCGGTGATCAGGAACACACTGGTGACAGTAGGAAAAGTATTTTTTTATTACATTTTTTTTCTCCATTTTTAAGATTTTCTTTTCCTATTACACTATGACCAAAGTAGTATAATGTTAGCATAGTAACATTGTACTACTTTGGGGAAGTGATCAGTATTTTTTTTTTTTAATTTACACAATTTGATTGCTTATAGCAAATTCTTTGCTATAAGCAAGCATTTACCTGAATGAAATAATTTCATTCAGGTCTTTTTGTTGTGATTAGCTGTGATTGGCCACGGTTAATCACATGACACAGATGGGCTGTGATTGGCTCAGCCTGTGCATGTGATTACTGTGACTATTCACAGCTAGACACTTTTAAACAATGGATAGCTTCCTTTCATGCCATCCGTTGTATAAAACAGTCATGTAACCTGCTGTGATTGGTCACAGCAGGTCACATGGTACTGGCAACAGGTCGGTACACAGATCTGTCATCTGCTGTGTCCGAGGTACACACAAGGCGCGATCCAGGAAGGACGTCATATGATGCCACCCGGATCGATGAAAGTTCCGCCCAGTCATTTTCCAATTGGCCGGGCGGGTAGTGGTTAAGAAAGTGCACCACACCTGCAAGATATAATAGAAGTCTATGACAAAGTGCAGCTAACCCAGGAATTTTGCAGATGCACTGTGCTGAACGAGCGGTGCAGGTAAATTGCAGTACATCAGTGTGAAAGCGGCCCCACAGGGGGCTCGGAACAGTAAGGGTTCATTTACATTTGCAGTTGCAGTTGGGGGGGGGGCCCAATAGTTAAGTATTTTTCCCACCCCCGCCTCAACTGCACCCCCTTTAGTTGCAGTGGCCAGGGGTGTACACATGTCGCAACAGGAGTTATACACCCTGTCATGGTTGGTGGGTGTAGCACCTGCCAAGCATAACCCATTCAAGTGAATGAGGCCCCTCTGCAAGTGCCCTGACACCTTGTGCAGTACAGCAAACAAGGAGTTAAAGCAGGCAGCATGGTGTTGCTTTCTCACCACCTGCTTTAACCCCTTGGACCCTTTGGAGAAGCATGCAGTTGCAGGGCGCTTGCAGAGTGGCCAAATTTACTTGATTATGTCACGACTGAAAAGTGGTGGTAGCACCCACAAAAAGCTTCAGGTGGTTTAATTCCTGCTGTAGCAAAAAAAGGGGTAGGGATTACAGGCAGTAAAACTGCAACTCAACCCGCAGGGTTTTAGCACCCACTAACTTTACGTGCAAACGAGCCATAAGAGTGCCAATGCCGAATGCACTAAGGACTCATTCACAAGTGAAGTAGGCACTGTTGTAACTCGGAAAAGTGAAGTTAAATGTGCTTGACAGGTGGTGAGGAGGCGATATGTTGCCTCCTCACTACCGTATTCAAATCCATGATTGCCGTGCAATGCACGCGATTAGAGGTTTAAATCAGGCGCGAGGGGGTGACACCCGGCCCGGTGATCTTTGACTTCTGCCTTTTTGACTTAGCACCTGCTTGGCATAATTGGTTAATCATACACCTACCTCTAATCCTACAAAATCCCCGACACTGTAAGTGTACAAAGTGTGCAAGAGTAAGATTTGCTGCTGGTTTGAAGCAAAAGAGTAGTCACAATAAATATTGATTTGCTTTAGATTTTTCCTTCTGTTGACTCACTTTGCTTTCAAAAATATATATTTTAATTATTTACAATTAAGTATTGCTTTCTTACTTTACACCCATCTAAAATTATTTGCACTACAGCACTTCTCTACCAATGAGAAATACATCCAAGTAATCTTTCTCTATTCAAGAAGAGAAAGAACATCGAGACAGATTGTATAGTTACTGATCACTGTGATAGTCAAAGTTATCACAGCAATCATATTAATCAAGAGACCGTTCTCCTGGCTCCCGATCTTTAGTTCAAGACCTGGAGGTGTTGGCGACAGCCCCGTCTTTGTTGGGAAGCGTGCTCCAGCTCAAAACACAGGAACATACATATGCAGCTCTATGGAAGAAGACTGACTTCGGTGAAGCCACATATGTGCGCACAATCATCATAAAAAGGGGTCAATGTGATTGCATTACATT